TAAAATTTTAATAAAGAATCATGTACGTGTCCCCCAATAAACATGTATTTAAGAAAGTAATAAACAATGGCAATACTTATGTGAACATTCTCTTAGAAACTAAGATTGATTATTGAAGAATCAAAAATACATAGGTATACAGCTTCAGAATAAGATTATAAGCCAAAACAAGTCAAATTTAATAAATGACATCTACAATTCTGAAAAATGAAACTGAAAACTTATATCCATATCTGAAAGAAATCATTTAACATATTAATTTCAACCCTTCTAAAATATTTGAGAAGCCTAAATATCAACACTTTCAATTCAACACTAGTTAGAAAAAAGGCATTTCAAAATTGCAGCAATTAGCAATATTTAAATACTGTCTCAAAGCCAATAGCATTGCACCAATTTGGGATTCCTTGATTTTCATATTTTGTGATTAGGTAATAGGATGCCTTTGTTCTTCAAAAACATACACTGCACTATTACTTAAGGATAGAAGGGTGTTTTGTTTAAATGAGGAGGGGAATAAAGGAGGGAAGAGGGAGGAGGGAGAAAAGGAAGAAGGAAAAGTAAAAAAAAAAGTAAGAAAAAGGAAAAAATATGGAAACAAAGCTTTTGTGAATGGGGGAGGAGGAATTGAAGGCAGGGTAGGGGAATGGGAAAAAAAAGAATCAAGTGTTTGTGCAGGTACACTTTATGATAAATGTGATCATTATGTATATCTGCTAAAGTATGTGTCTGGATGTCCCCTCAAAGCCTTATGCGGTTATGGTGGCTGGCTTCTAGGGTTTATGAATGATTCTTGGTCCAATTCTGGGATGTTAGGTGTGAGTCTACATCCTCGTAGGTGTGGCCTACATACAATGTAAGAGGCAGAATGAGTCTTCCCTCCTCCCCTTTTTGGTCTTGTTCTTTTACTGTCTTTTACTGCCCTGAACTATTGCTCGTGTCACACCACTCTGCCTTTGAGCCAGCTGAACTGAAATCTTCGCAAACCACGAGCTAAATAAACCTTTCCTTCCTTAAATTTGGATTTTGGGTATTTTGTCCCAGCAAGGAGAGAAAAGTGACCAAGATAATATCTAAAACGTGCCAATAAAATCTGATTGAAGAACAAAAAGAGTACAAGCATATTATGATGGTTGTTACTTTCTCTCAAATGCTTCAGAGGGAAATGCATATATGCATATAGAAAATTTTAAAGCAAAGGTAGTTGTTTTATGTGGGTGAAGTACATACAGGACTTCTTGGTACTACCGACTTTTATGCAAGTTTGAAATTATTTCAAGACAAAAAGTTAACAAAAACCCTTTCAGGATTGTACCTAAATTAACGGTAACATATACTCAAGTCATTAACTTAGTATTATGTGACAAAAACAAAAACAAAACAAATATGCCAAGTGGAGCCCGTTCTTTAGTCAGTAATAAATACCTCAGATTAGTTTTATTAATATATGTATTAGTAAAGTTTTGTACTTATTAGGTTATGTGACTGCTTGACAATTTTATAAGTAAAGGAGTTTAAAAGTTTGTGAGATTCTAACAGTTTCAGTAATTTTCATGGTCCTTTGCCTGATATAATGCTCTGCCAATCTATATAAGAACAAAATAGCCCTAATACATCGAGTTCATCATTAGTTTACCCACTGTAGAAATTAACTTTATTTTGTGGATCCAGGGTGAGGCTGCATCCTGAATGGTTAGGTCTTTTTAACAGGATAATCTTCAAGCAGAAGAGTTAAACCAACCTAGAATTTTGTACCACTCAGGACACAGAGCATTCCACATAATCTCAGACACTGTATGTGAAGTGTTAGCAACTTGGAAAAGAGTCTAGAAAAAAAGGAGTAAAAGAACTTTAATATTTTACAAATTTGTTATTTTTACCTAGAAGAATGATATATAGCATATTATCCATGAAAATTTAGTACAATAAAATGAACATTTAAATTTTTTAATCAGTTAGCGATACTGTTGTCTGGAGAGACTGCTAAAAAATGCATGGAAGTCCCAGTAATACTAACTTACTGTATGCAGAACAAATCTTATTTATGTTTGGTTTTCTGTAATATTCATCATGATGCCCTACTCAGAGTAAGCACACAGTATATTTGTCAAATGAATGAAACAAGTTAACAAGTCACATTTTAATGGTTTTTTTACGGTGTTGTTTCTGAATTTCTGAGACAAAATCTTGGTAGGAAATCTAGCCCGGACTTGAACCCATCGTGCAGTTCTAGATGGTCTGGTACTCACCACTATTCTCCTGCTTCAGCCTCCTGAATGCTGAGATTACAGACTTGTAACATTATTCTCGGCTACATTTTAGAAGTTTTAAAGAAACATCTTGGTATCAATTTCAGTTAATCAACTATTGGAAAGTAATGATAGTTGTGTAGTAGAACTTCAGATAGATGTAAAACTAAGTGGACACTATGTTACCAAGGCCCTGATTTCATTAATTTACTTATACTAGTATCTGGGACTCTAGTATAAATGTCATGGGAGTTATTTCTGAGATAGCACTTGAGAAATTACTGTAGCAGAAAGAAAAATAGTAATGCCAATATATATTATTGTTGAGTATGGATATAGTTACAATAAATATGTTAACTAGTATTTTTTCTCAGTTTTAAAATATAATGGCATACAACCTTGGTTCTGTCTAAAAGGTCACGTGTTTCCTAGCTCTTCTAATTTCTTCTAAAATGATAATGTTACATTTTCAATTTTTTCTCTTACTGATTATTATTTATTTTGGGCAATTCATTTCTTTATTCAGCAAGCATGCACTGCATCTCCATTCTGCTCCAGGCATTAGGAGCACTGGAATGAAGAGGTGAATCAGACCCTAACCCTGATAAAAATAACTAAAATAGATGCAGCGCTCACTATGTGGATAGAACATAAGTCCTTATCTAGAGTAATTCAGTCCTCACATCAGATCTGTAAAGTAAGAACAATCGGTACTCCCATTTTACAGATGAGTAAAGTGAAGGTGAAAGAGAATAAGTAATTTTCCTAATGCCATTAAGCTAGATGTGGTAAACACAACTGAGATTTTAAGTCAGTTTATCTGACTACTAAGCATGCACTCTTAAGCACTCAACCACACTGTCTTCCTAAAATCAGGAAGTTCATACTACAGTAAGGTTAGCAAGCCTGATAAAAATATGTATTATTTAGGTTAGTTATGTGCTGGGAGACAAACAGAAGGCCATACAGTAGAATGTAGATGCTTTTCTTTTGTGACTATACATATGGCTATACTTAAAACAGATGGAAGCACTGAACTGAGTCTTGAAGATGACTTTGCCAATCTAATGAGAGTTGAAAGGAAAGGCATTCTTAGCAGAAGGAACAATATGGGCAGAGACATGAAACATTGAAAACAGTTGGTTATATTTGGAAAATTCCAGATAGTACAGTTTAGCTACTTTAAGTGATTGTGTGTGTGGGGGGGGGGATAGCGCTAGAGAGGTAAGCAGAGGTGAGGTGATGGCATACAAGGAGACAGGAAGACAGTGGAACAAGGGGAGCCAAAAATCCAGGAAGGACAGTATTTCAAGAATGAGGAAGCAAAATCCCTAGGAAAAATCACTGAATAATTTGTTATATATTATGACAGAATCTATAACGATGACAAATTCTAAAGGGAGAATTTGTAATGTCTTAGCAAATATGTAGGAAAATCTGACATGATACTAAATTGTATGTACAATATAGTTCTAATTTTGTTAGAAAATAGTCACATAGAGTCACATGTAACACACAATACATATACGTATGCACACATGTGATATGATACAGATGATAAGATAGGTATGTGTATATAACATATGCATAGGTGTATGTATGATTTACCCACATGAGAATGGGAATAAAATACACTCTGTGAACTATGGCTCTTTCTGAGTGGTAGATTCTTGGACAATATTCTCTTTATCCGGCTTTCTACCTTTGTACAGTTTCCCTCCAATAGGCACATACAAGTTTTAAAATAACATTTTACTTCTTTTTTTAAAATTTTATTTAATGAAGAAAAAAAAACAGAGAAAGGGTACAAGTTATACAGATTTACAGAAAAAAATAAACAGTAGGAAATCACTAGTTAATGGATTACATATTGTCATCTTAGAAATAATTGTTCAAGTCCCAAAATTAAAGCTTGTAAAGTGGACATTCCAACAATGATACTGCAAACAGTTCTGTTCAATGATCCAATAAAACTCAGTGATATCATTTTCTATCTTATACACATAAATATACATGCAGTTATATCATTTAGAGCAGAAAAATAGAATTTCCTAGCTCACTACTGTTGTAGTGAGTAATAGGAAACATAAAAATAAGAATTCCAAACGTTGTCACAAAATCACACCTTGGAAAAGTGTTAACTCACATTCAAAGACATAAAAGTGACGTTTTCATTAAAATAAATCACCAAGGAATAGATCACAGAACGTCTTTTTTGAATTAAAGCTAAAACATGCAAAAACTCAAATGCTTGCAAGTTTTAAGCAATATTTAAAACTATAAGCTCTTCAACAGACAACAACGTGCTGTTTCTATGGTTGAAATGTAAATACAAATAAGATTAATTTGCTGTAGCCAAAAGCATAACCAATGCATGAGGAATATGGATTTCCACATCTTCGGTACCTTTCTCAGACTGGAATTAAGACACAGTCAGGCACTTCCTGAATGCACGTTTTGAAATCAAAACAAGATATGGGCGGCACAAATTTCACTGAGAGTCTCCCCCATTAAAGAAAACCAGTCTAGTACCCCTCTTCCCTTGTGATTAAAAAAACAAAAGCACTTTCCTTCTGTTTCCCATTAGTTCAAGCTCCCCAAAATTACCTTTAAATTACACACACACACACACACACACACACACACACACACACACACGCACCACACAGACACACACACACACACACACACACACACACACACACACACACACACCCCTCCGCCCCCGCCCCGTTCCTTCCAGTTACTTACTGCTAAAATTGATTGTATTGTTCAGGTTGCTCCTTGGTTAATCAGCTCTGGCCATATGGATCTTTGTTATTCGCAGTGCCAAGCAGCGACTCTTCCTGTCCCTTAAAGGTCCCTCTGGTTTTTCCTGCTGTGCTTTAAGGAAGTTTTTAATGGTAAGGCGGCGTCTAGGGCTCCCCGCAGCGGGTGCTGTGTATACACTTAATGTCCCGGTCTAATTATTCTCATTGTGAAGGCAAGTACTCTGGAAGTTTTCATTTCTATGCCGGCTTTAGGACTACTATGATGTACAACAGAGTTGAAGCCCGGGATTCCTGACGTATTTCTTCAGGTACCTTCTGTCCAATACTGTCACATCAAAGCAGTAAGGTGGGGGCTTGAGCACTGCAGCCACTGCGTGGCTCATCGTCTAACAGATACTTTCGACTACTAGCACAGTTACAGGCACCAACACTGAGGGCTGACCCACTGGCGAGGCGAGTCCATTATCTTGCTCAAGAACCTTTGTCCAAGATGCGGGTCCTTAGGAACCAGGCCTTCTTATCACTGCACGTGGGACTCCCAACCCGGTCTCTCTCAGGGTTCAGACAGTACAGCCCAGCATGTGAGGAGCTAGCCCGTGGCTGACTGTACTCTGCAGACACTGTGGGAAAGCTGCGAACTCCCAACTTCCTAAAGCTAGTTCACCGGGTTCAAAACTGGGAAAAGAGAAACGGCGCGCTTTGAGGAGAGTCGCCACTCCGCCCCCGCTGGCTAGGAAGACCCCGCCTTACCGCGAGGTTAAAAACAGACCAGCGCCCGCTTGCGGGCTCGCCCCGCCCCTCATTTGGGCTCTGCTGGGCATTCGAGAGGCTGTTGCTAGGCAGCCGCCCTGCAGCCTTCTGCACTGAGTTAACTGAGACATGTTTCCGGCTGAGTTCCATCTGGGAGCAGAGCGGCAAGAAGCAGGGTTGCTGGTGGGGGTAGGTGGGGTTGGGGGTAGGGGGAGGATGGTTATGATTTCTAGCAAAATCTACGGGAGAAGGAGGCGTGCTCCAGGCTTCTCTACAAAGGAAAGTGACCAGAATGAGGCTAGGAAAAAGACAGTGATAAGAAATGAGGTGCAAACTCAGGTATATGAGGATGTGGACCTTGAACCAGCAGCAGAAAGTAATTTACCATTGGTTAATATAAACAGATGTGGCCACGTGGGTCTCCAGTAGTATGAAAAAAACAGATAATGTATGCCGACCCTTTGGGACAGTCTGACCAAAGCCTTCAATAAGCGTTAGTTAGCATTGCTATTAGCATTAATATAATTGTGATAGTCACTTCTGAGAGAGTGCAGGATGACTGGATTAGTGTTAAAATGCAACCGAAATTGTAGAATTACTCTGTTAAAAGAGCTGCCTAGGATTAAACTTCTTTTTTTAAAATATTTTTATTTTAAAGAGATTAAGACCAAAGAGGACATAACAAAGCAGATCAGAACACAACAATGTAAGCAGCACAGTATTTCACCACAAACAACTCATAATTAAAAGTAACTACCACAATGTCTCTTTCTTTGAAATAGTTGAGTATAACTTCCTATACAATAGTATCAAACATAACAAAACAGTATAAAAACATTCAAGAGAATGATAGTATTACAGGGCATTCAGAATCAAACAGCAGAGAACGAAAAATGGGTACTGTCGGGATGGAGGTTTAGCTCAACGGGCATAAGCACCTGCCTTGCAAGCAGGCGGTCATGACTTCGATCCCTGGTACTGAAAAAAAGACCAAAAAAAAAAAATGGATACTGTCTCCTTTTCCATGGAAAATTTGTTTATACTATCACACATAATAAAATCCAATAAGACACAATATGATGGAACCAATGGAAACAGAAAAACAAAAGCATGGTAGGACTTAAGAATTCGATGATACTAAGTCAGCACTGGCTATTATAATATCTTGTTTTCTTCAAAATAGCTGTTGTTACTATCACAGATAATAAAATCAAAGAAACAAGGATAAAATCATTTTAACTAATGAATGCAAACATTATAAGGCTTCAAAGCAATGTAATGGTGAATCATGATTACCATAAACTCTTATCTACTCTTACCATTTCTTACACTAGGGAGACTATACAGTATATATATGTATATGAGCTTGATTTATTTCACTTATGAGTATGATCTCAAGCTGCATCCATTTATTTATAAATATCTCAATGTGATCATTGGTTATAGCTGAGTAGTACTGCATTGTATAAAAATACCACAGCTTTTTTATCTATTCCACAGTTGATGGACACTCAGGTTGTTTCTAAGACAGGGCTATTACAAATTGTGCTGCTATAAACATAGGTACACATATATCACTGTGGTATGATGCTGTCAGTTCTTCTGTGAATATGCCTAGAAGTGGAATAGCTGGGTCAAATGGGACTTCCAATCCCAGCTTTCTGAGGAATGCCCGGATTGATCTCCACAGTGGTTCCAGAAGTCTACACTCCCACCAACGGTGCAGCATGCAGGAGAGTTCCTTTTTCACCACAGCCTCTCCAGCATTGGTCGTTGGTGGTTTTCTTGATCCTGGCCATTCTTTCAGGAGTGAGATGGAATCTCGGTGTGGTTTTAATTTGCATTCGTCCAATGATCAATGATGATGAACATTTTTTCATGTAATTTTTCCAATTGTATTTCTTCATCTGAGAACTCTGTATGCATCTCAGATGCTCATTTTTGGGTTGGGTCTTTGAATTTCGAGGATCTGATTTTTTTTTTTTTAATTCTTAATATGTTTTAGACCGTAGTCCTTTTTCTGAGGGACAGTTCACTAAGATTTTTTTCCCAGTTTGTGGGTTTCCTTTTCACTATACTGGTGATTTCTTTTGACATGCAGAAAGTTTTTAATAAGACATGATCCCAGTTATTGATTCTGGGAAGTATTTCCCATGCTGTTTGATTCATGTTCATGAATTCTTTACCTAATCCTATGTCTTCAAGATTTCCACCTAATTTCCCTTCCAACAGGTTTAGTGTTTCTGTTTTAATATTCAGATCTTTGATCCATTTAGATTTTAGTTTAGTACATAGTGACAGACACAGGTCTAGTTTTAGTTTTCAGCATATGGAGAGCCAGTTTTTCCAGCACCATTTATTAAAGAGACTGTCGTTCTTCCAGTCAACAAGTTTAGCTCCTTTATCAAAGATGAGGTGGTTGAGTATGTTTGTAGTTGTGGTTGTATCTTCTAATCTATTTCATTGATCTTCAGATCTGTTTTTATTCTAGTACCATGTTGATTTTACTACTGTTGCTTTGTAGTACAACTTCAAGTCAGGGACTGTGATGATGCCTCCCGCCTTGCCTTTGCTGCTTAGAATTTCCTTTGATAGTCTAGGTATCTTCTGGTTCCAGATGAATTTTAGAAGTGATTTCTCTACATCTATGAAGTATGTTGATGGTATTTTCATTGGGATAGCATTGAATCTGCATAACAGTTTTGGGAGAATGGCCATTTTCACAATATTTACTCTTTCTATTGATGAACAAGGGATATCTTTCCTTTTTCTGAAATCCTCTTCAATTTCTTTTTTTCAGGGCTTTATAATTTTCCCTGTATAGATCTTTTACTTCTTTAATGAGATTAATTCCTAAGTATTTCATTTTTATGGATGCTATTGTGAAGGGTGTGGCTTCCCTTATTTCTCTCTGTGTGATTTTATTGTTAGTTTATAGAAATGCTATTGATTTTTGAGTATTGATTTTGTATCTAGCCACATTGCTGAATTTATTGTACCTAGGAGTCTTTCCATGGAGTTTTGGGGGTCTTCTATGTAAAGTATCATGTCGTCTGCAAATAATGATAATTTAACTTCCTCTTTCCTATCTTTAGCCCTTTAATTTCTCTCTTTTCTAATTGCTCTGGCTACTATTTCCAGTACTATATTGAATAAGAGCAGTGATAAGGGACATCCTTGTCTTGTGCCTGATTTTAAGGTAAAGGCCTTCAGTTTTTGGCCATTTAATATGATGCTGGCTGTTGGTTTGTTATAGATGGCCTGTATCATATAGAGGTAAGGACCACCTATTCTAATTTTCTGTAAGGTTCTTAATTATCATGAATGAATGTGGGACCTTATCAAAAGCTTATTCTGCATCTATAGAAATGATCATGTGATTCTTACTGTTGGCTTTATTGATATGGTGGATTACATTTATTGATTTACGTATGTTGAACCAACCCTGCATGCCTGGGATGAATTCCACTTGGTCATGGTGTATAATCTTCTTGATCATTTGCTGCATCTTGTTTGCCAATATTTTATTCAGGATTTTTGCATCTGTGTTCATTAGGGAGATTGGCCTGTAGTTCCCTTTTTTGTTGGGTCTTTCTCAGGTTTTTGTACTAGAGTAATATTTGCTTCCAGGAATGACTTAGGAAGAATTGCTTCCCATTCAATTTCATTGAAGAGTTTGAGGAGTATTAAGTCTTTTCGTATTTCTTGTAGAATTCCACAGTGAATCCCTCTGGGCCTGGGCTCTTCTTTGTAGATAAGGCCTTAATTTCATTTTGAATTTCATTAATAGAAATTGGATTACTCAGCTGTTTTACATCTTCTTGACCCGGGTTTGTTACTTCATATGTTTCTAGGGATCTGTCCATTTTTTTCTGTGTTATCAAACCTATGAGAGTAGAGGTGTTTGAAATAGGTGTTGATGATATGTAGTTCCACAGAGTCTGTGGTGATCTTATGTTTTTAATTCCTTATGGCATGAATTTGAGTTTTTTATTTAATAAAATTTACTGGTGGCTTATCAACTTTATTTATTCTTTCAAAGAACCAATTCTTTGATTCATTGATTCCTTATATTGTTTTGTTAGTCTCTATTGCATTAATTTCTGCTCTGATTTTTATAATTTCCTCCCTTCTTTTGGCTTTAGGCTTGACTTGCTCTTCTTTTTCTAGATGTTTGAGGTGTAGCATCAGGTGGTTTATTTGTGTTCATTCTGTTTTCCTGATGTGTAATACCAGTGCAATAAATTTTCTTCTGAGGACTGCTTTCCTTGCATCCAACAGACTCTGGTAAGTTGTATTTGTATTTTGGTTTTCTTGTAGATATTGTTTAAGTTCTTCTTTAATTTCCTCTCTTCCCCACTGATGGCTCAAGAATGCATTATTCAATTTCCATGTGTTTGTGGGGTTTTTGCAATTTCTTTTGTCATTAGATTCTAGTTTCATAGCGCTATCATCTGATAACATGCATGGGATATTTTCAGTTGTTTTGCATTTACTTAAATATATTCTGTGGGCTAGTATGTGGTCTCTTTTAGATAATGTCCCATGTACTGCTGAGAAGAATGTGTATTCTGATGTTGGATTGGACACTCTGTATACATCTATGAAGTCCACTTATTCACAAGTGTGATCCAGTTCTGTTATTTCTTTGCTGATTTTCTGTCTGGTTGATCTGTCCCTTGGTGTCAATGGTGTGTTAAGGTCTCCTGTTATAATTGTGTTATTCCTAAGTTTATTTTTCCTTTCTATCAATACTTGCTTTGTATAACTGGGTATTCTGGAATTTGGTGCATATATATGTAAGATAGTTATTGTTTTCTCTTGAAGTTTTCCCCTAACCAGTATGTAATGACCTTCATCTCTTTGGATCATTCTTGTTTTGAAGTTCACATTGTCTGCAAACAGAATAGCTACCCCTGCTTTTTTTTTAGTTCCTGTTGCATGAAGTATTGTTTTCCATCTCTTGACTTTCAGTCTGTGAGTTTCGTTTTGCGTTAGATGGGTTTCTTGTAGGCAGCATATGTTTGGATGTTGTTT